AGCAGGAATTCAAATTTGTCATTATTTTCCTGGACTGAAGAAGACTGGTGTACCCATCAGTTTGAAGTCTACCTGGCAGCAGTTTCTGCCCGTCCTGTGAAAGGTACTGTCATTTTACTCATCATCCATGATTGCTAGGTTTTTGTAGAATATGGTTAAAAGCTTTCCATTGCCTTAATGTTACAATTCCTGCTGGGATCATGGAATATATTTAAACTTTGGATCAGTATATCTGCTCTTTCATCTTAGGGAGGTTTGCTGCTTGTCAGCAGCAGATTATGTCACATTTCAGACATAATGGAAAGACTGCCAAAACTTGTTTGTCCCTCAGACATTTACCCGCTGTTCTTTATTGGCAGGAAAATACTACCAGGGAGACCTGGACAGTATCAAGAGTGACTACATGTCTCTGGGAGTAGTGGGCAAGGTCATGGAGCCCAGGTGGTTTTCTTAGTCCTGCCAGTGAGGGGTAGAGGGATTGACCAATTCTGCATGTCAAGCATTGCTTGTGCAGCTGGTTTCAACAACAGGGTTTTAGGTTTTATGATCATGGGAACCTCTTAGAGTTGAGGACTGGTTGGAAGAGATGGGATCCATCTGAGTGTGGCAAAAGCATCTTTGCCAACAGGCTGGCCAACCTGATTAGGAGATCTGTAAGCTAGGAATGACAGGGAGGGAGAGTATGACCAGTGATCAAGAAAGGAATTAGTTGATTGGGCTGGTAAGCAAGCAGTCTGGGGTGATTGGAATAGGAGAAATCTCATACTCAAGAAAACAGGGATGAATGATGTCCATCTCAAGCATATGCACAGAAGTAAGGAACTGTACATCATGGAATTGTGAGGAAAGCTCTCATACTGCTTCAGGGAAATCAGCATGACTGGGTGCCTTTCTGAAGTGCGTGTACACTAATGCATATGCCACAGGAACAAACAGGAGGAATTGGCGTGTAGTTGCACGGCCACAATCTCATTGGTTTGACTGAGAAGTGGTGGGATAGCTTATGTAACTCTTATATGGCAAGGGATAGGTACAGGCTGTTCAGGAAGGACATGCCAGGAGGGTGATGAGGGAGCATTGCTGTTTATGTGAGGGAGCAGCTGGAATGCATGAAACTGTGTAGGAATGGATGATGAGCCATTTGAGAACTTATGGGCCAGGATTAGTGAGCAGACTAATGTGGGCAATGTTGTGGCAAGTGTCTGCTACAGAACACCTGATCAAGAAGAAGTGATAAGGCCTTCTTCAGACAACTGGAGAAAGCCCTATGTTCACATTTCCTGGGCCTCATGGGGCCAGCCTGATATCTGCTGGAGGAACTATACAACAGGTCAGAAGCACTCCAGAAGTTTTCTGGAGTGCATTCATTACAATGTCCTGACACTGCTGATCAAGGAGCCAGCTAGGGAAAGGCACTCTGCTGGACCTTATGCTTATACACAAGGAAGAACGGGTTGTTTATATGAAGGTAAGGGGCAGCTTTGGCTGCAGTGACTATCAGGTGGTAGGGTTTGGCTCAAGATCCTGAGAGGAGGGAGCCAAGCAAAAAAAGCAAGATCACAAGCCTAGTCTTCAGGGGAGCAGACTTACACCTTTTTGGATATCTGCTTAGAAGAATCCCGTGGATACGGTCCTGAAGAGAAGAAGGGCTCAGGAATGCTGGTTGAGTCATGCTTAACCTGCCTTGTAGCCTTCTGTATGAGACTACAGGCTTGGTGGATGAGGGGAGAGTGCTGGATGTTTTTTATCTTAACTTTAATAAGGCTTTTGATACTGTCATAATGTCATCAGATAAACTGGTGACGTACGGACTAAATAAGTGGGCAGTGCGGTAGACTTAAAACTGACTGAAATGCCATGCTCAGAAGGTGGTGATCACTAGCATGAAGTCCAGCTGGAGGCCAGTCACTACTTGTGTACCCTAGGGGGTCAGTATGGCGTTGAGGACTACTTAATATCCTCATTAATGACATACATGGGACAGAGTTCATACACCCTCAGCAAGTTTACAGATGATACAAAGCTGGGAGGAATGGCTCATACACCAGACGGTTGTGCTGCTATTCAGAGGCACCTGGAGTATTGGACCGAGAGGCATCTCGTGATGTTCAGCAAGGGAAAATGTAAAGTCCAGCACCTCAGGAGGAATAACACCCCGCAGCAGTACATGCTGGGGAGCGGCTGGCTGGAAAGTAACTTTGCCTGGAAGGACCTTGGGGTCCCAGTGGACAAGGAGTTGAACGTGAGCCAAGAATGCATCCTCGCAACAAAGAAGGGCAGCGGTATCCAGGGATGCAGTAGGAAGAGCGAGGGAAGTGATCCTTCCCCTCCACTCAGCACTGGTAGAGGCCTCACCTGGAGCACTGTGTCCAGTTCTGGGCTCCCCAGTACAAGACAGACGTGGGCTTACTGGAGCAAGTCCAGAGAAGGGCTGGATGCACAAAGATGATTAAGAGACTGGAGAATCTTTTATGTGAAGACAGGCTGAGAGAGCTGGGACTGTTCAGCCTAGAGAAGAGAAGGCTCGGGGAAGTGCGGGGAGGAAATCTTATCAATGAGGAAGAGGGAGCCAGAGTCTTCTCAGCAGAGCCTGCTGACAGGACAAGAGGCAATGGGCACAAATTAAAAACCAGGAAGTTCAACCTGAATACAAGAAAACACTTTTTAGCGTGAGGGTGGTCCCTTCCAACCTAAATGGCCCTGTGGGGTTTTTTGGCTCTTTTTTTTTTTTCCTTTCTTTTTCTGAAGTTGACAGGAGTAAAGTAACAACCCCTTTTTGTTTTCTTAAACTTCACTTCTGGAGTTGATATTTCATTGCTGCCTTGTAGAACTTAAGGGCTATGTTGTGTTATGTTTGAAAACCAAGGCCATTTCTGTTAACTCCAAAGTTTTTTTTTTTTTCCCTCCATTCATTTATGAATAAATAGTTGTCCTTACTTAGGGACTGAAATGGATACTGGTCCTGTTAGAGGCCATCAAGCAATTCAGGTCAAGCAGTGGTTAGTTACTGGAGTGTTTTTAAGCAACATAACTTTGGAGTTGCTTGTCTATAGCTCTGTAGGTATCTTTGTCTAATGCACTGATACTACTAGAACATCTAGGGGCATCTGTGCTCCTCAGGGTTGTACTGAGCTCTTCATGCAAATAAAGCCAAGATCCACCTTCAGATCATTGTTAATGTATAGGACACAGCTTGGAATTGAGTCAAACTTACGTAGACATGTGAACTGTCATTTGAACATTTGAACAGTTACTAAACCTAAAGTTCTTCAGGTGGGATAGTCCATGTGCAAGTTCACTTCATACCTTCTTTTCCTTTTCTCTCAAGTCTTGTAACTCGCTCTAGAGATTGCAGGGTGAGAGGAACTGACAAGGTCTTGGACAGTGTTGGGAGCATTGTCTGGTATACCTTTTCCTAGTATTTTTAGTTTGACAAATGCCTTGAGTGTTTATGGGGAGAGGCCACTCAAATCTTGGTGTGGAATGTATATACATGTTTAGCATAAACATCTTAAAACCCCTCTTGTGAGTGAACAGCCACATTTTTGCTACTCGGTTTTGTACTAGGGAATTGATGATGGTCCATGATTATACATAAAGAATGAGTGAAATAGTTGAAAAATTTCTATCAGAATATGAAAACTTCATATGAGAAGGCTTTACTACAAATGCTGTTTCTAGTGGTAGTTGCATTTGTGCTTAAAAAAAGGAGAGGTAGTGGGACTCAACACCCACTGTACTTCCACAGGTGGATTGACCTTGGCTGGCTGCCTGACACCTATGCAGCCGCTCTCTCACTTCCCCTTCTCAACAGGACAGGGGGAGAAAATAAGGTGGAAAAGTTTATGGGTCACGATAAAGACAGGGAGGTCACTTAGTGATTGCTGTCACAGGCAAAGCAGATTCAACTTTTGGAAAAGTAATTTAATTTATTGCCAATTAAAAATGGAATAGGATGGTGGGTAACAAAGACAAAGCTAAAAACACCTTGCCCCTACCCCCCCCCCCCCCCCCCCCCCCCCCCTTTTTCCTCCTTCCTAAAGGCTCAACTTTACTCATTCATCCCAAACTCTTCTACCTCCTTGCTCCCTGGAGCAGCACAGGGTGGGTGGAAGATAATGGGGGATATGGTCAGTTCACTTCGTCTCTGCTGCTCCTTCCTCATCACACTTTTGTGCTGCTCCAGTATGGAGTCCTTCCCACAGGATACCATCCTTCACATCCTACCCCATCCAGCGTGGGTCCTCTCCATGGGCCGCAGTTCTTCAGGAATAGACTGCTCCAGCGTGGGTCCCTAGTGGGCCACAGTTTCTGCCAGAAACCTTGCTCCTACATGGGCTTCTCTCCAAGGGCCACAGCTCCTGCCAGGACCCTGTTCCAGCATGGGCTCTCCTTCAGCTTTCTTCAGAGCACCTCCCTCTGCTGCAGTGTGGGGTCCTCCATGACCTGCAGTGTGGATATCTGCTTGACCATGGTCCTCCACAGGCTGCAAGGGAATCTCTGGAGCACGTTCGTCACTGACCTTGGTGGCTGCAGAGTTGTTTCTCTCACTTCCTTCCCTCTGCCCTGCCCCCCAGCAGCTGCAGAGCATTTTTTACCCTTTCTTATTATCACAGAGGTGCCACCAGCATCACTTAATGCGCTCAGCTTTGGCCAAGTGATGGGTCTGTTGGAGCCAGGTGGAACCATCTGTGTCCAGCAAGGGGCAGCTCCCAGCCTCATCTCACAGAGCCCACCCCTGCTGCCAACACCTTGCTGTGTATACCTAATACACTTGCCTTAGTAAGTCTAATACAATACTACTTCTCAGGCAACTGCACATGGCCTGGAAATGAAGTTTGCTTTGACTCTGGTTATTTGTTTGAAGCACGAAAACCAGACATGGATGAAAATAGATTTGTGGTTTCTTTTTGTATGTTGGTAGCCAGGAGTCTCAGCTCTTAAGAAAGTTTGGCTGCATGTGTAAGAAATTTGGTTATGGTGGAGTAAGCATTCATCTTTGTATTCTCAGCCCGTGCTGGTATCTGGTGTCCATAAGAAGTTGAAGTCAGAGCTTTGGAAGCCAGAAGCTTTCAGCCTGGAATTTGGAGATCAAGATGTAGATTTGGTGAACTGCAGGAACTGTGCCATAATTTCAGACGTGAAAGTGCGTGACTTCTGGGATGGCTTTGAGATAATATCTAGTAAGTAATCTCTATGGCTGACTAGTTTAACTGAGCAGTCTGTCTTGCTACCTTCAACTCTTCTTTTTCCACCTATTTTCTCAAAAAATAAAGAAATGAAAAAATAATAAATAAAAAAATCGGAATAGCTACCAGTATCATCCAAAGAAGCCATTGCTCCTTATATGTAGTGCACTCTAGAAAATACTTCATTAGTGAAGATTAGGGCAGGGCTGCCCAAGAAAACTTCATCTGTACTATAGCATGTTCGTGTGTGTTAACTTCAATGTGTCAAAAGTTTATCCGTTTAATGGGAAACTACTTTTTTTGAACTTTCCTCAGTGAAATTAATCATCAGTTACCGTTACTAAGACAGTAAGTGATTTGACTACCCTTACTCTGCTTCCAAATTCAACATTTACTGTAAAACTAAGGGGAACCTGCAGAACTAAAACAGAGTGAGGCTTTTGATGCTAAAACTCAGACTTGGTGGAATACATCAACTAAGTAAACTTGACATTGCAAATAATTTTTATAGTAGATCATCTGCAAGTACAAATACATGTTTATATGTATTATGAATAGCAATGCTGCATGCCTACCTCATGTGGTAACACATTACTTAATGCTTGAGTTCTTTGAGAAAACCTTCTGTCAAGTATGGATGTGGAAGCTAACCAGTTAAAATTCCTGCGGATATAACTGGTCAGGTTAAAGAGCTTCTGAAAAGCAGAGTGCTCTATCTTAGATTGTATATACCTAGATCTCAGTGGTCTCACATTTACAGATGTTAGAGTCGTAACAGTTCATTGCAACGTTGCTGATTTTAGTGTTGTGTATAAAATGTTTTCTATATTTATTGCTATGTGCACATAGCCGAAATGGTGAACTGCTGGATGACTTAATGGAAAGTTTGTTCAACAGCGAAAGCAATGATAGATTTGTAGACCAAGAATATTCCCTTCCCTAGTCACTTTCGAATGACTTGGGGTTTTTTTTCAACTTTTGACTTGTTGTTATATGATTCCAAGTACAGAGTCTTGTATTTTGTACTGTTAAATTTTGTACTATTTCTGTTACTACTCAGAAATGAATGGCCTGGAAGGATATAACTGTGTGGTCTTTCTGTCTATTAATGGTAATTGGGAAACTTCACAAACTCTTAGCTTTTGTGCTAGGTTCATTCATGAAAATAGTAAATTTGTATGGGTCAAGTTATCTTTGCAAAATGTTACTTGTAATTTGTCTCTAGACAGATATGGTCCTTTCAGCAAAATGAGCAGCTGCCTTTCTTTTAGACAATGCCTTTACAACACTTCATATGAGAAATGTCAGTGAACTAGGCTGGAAAACCTGATCCCTTTTGCTAGTTTCTTTTAAATACATTTTATTTAGTGTTTTCGAGCCATGTGCAATCCCCAATTTAGAAGAGTATTATTTGCTACTAGTCCAGAGATTTCACACACTAACTCACATGAAAACTGTTTACAAATTATATGACAACTCTGACTTCTCTGCATTACATTAATTTTAGATTTCTCAAATATGTGGCTGGTTCTCCACCCCACCTGCTCTGCAGTTACTGCAGGGATGTAGAACAGTCACTGGATTTGGAGGTGATATTGAGATAATCCCTTAATTATTCTATATGATATTTTAGTTAATTTTAATGTTGTGCTGTTTACTTTTAATATCTTTGAGTTATAAGTGGACTTTTGGCAGGTCTCACTTTTTGTTTTGATCCTTCTTAGACCTGTTTTTCTTTGCTGATCAGATGCTTTCTGGGTTTTCTCCAGTTTCGTGTAATTTATCAGATCTGAATATTTTCCTCCAGGTAGCTCTTCACTCTGCCCTTTCTGATTAGCCTTCCTACAAGTTTCTTCTCCTTGTTCAGAACAAAGATCCTTTGTGAGTTCAAAATCTTGAATATGGGAAGTTCTAAAACATCTTTAAATTCAAGTCCTTGAACTTTTCAGTTCACTTGCCTCTCTAAAATCTGTAGCTCATAAAAATTTGTTTTCTTTAAATCAGTCACTTTGGTTTACATATCTGCAGTTCTTAATTCCTTTTAATTTCCATAAAATAAGTTTTCATGTTGCAAACTAAGGCTGTCTTCTGTAGCCTGTTGATACATAACGTAGATGTGATTCACAGGTCTCCGAGTCCTAGTTTCTTAGATAGGTTTTCTCTTTTGGTGCCGTCAGCAGCTCTGCTAGGCTTGGGTAAGATCAGTTGCTTTTTGTTTGGCTGACAATCCTTGGTAAGGTAGGAAGTAAAAGATGTTACTTTCTGGGGAAAAGGGGTTGCAGAGGTGTCAGACTGCAGTACATCCTGTTTTCCAACTGATGGATTCATGTAGAGTTGTGAAGAACCTGGTAGAAGAGTGAACTTTGTTTCTCTCTAAATGTTATGCGGAGTCTTCTAAGCTGCTGCACATACTACTTCCAGATATACTCTGTTAGCCATTGTAACATCTGAGGCAAAACAGCAGTTGATGTGGTCAGTGCTGTCATACTGTACATTCACTGTTGTATACATAATTTCATCTCTCTGTGCTGCCAACTTTTTCTATTACCAGTCAGGACTCACGTACTACTCTAGAATTGAAGAACACGTTTGAATTTGGCACCTTGCTAATTTGAGTGCCTCCAGCAAACAGGAATTTTAAAAATTAAAGGCTGTCTTCTTCAGCAACCACCTGCCATTTAGCTTTTTTGAGTGTGGTGTACCATGGCTTCTTGCTTTATACCAGGGTTAGGGTTGCTTTCAGAGCATGAACCAATAACTTCAATTCTATAGAAGCACCACTCCTCTTGAAATGGAAAGATAAAACTCCGTTAAACTTTGGTAAAAGTAGTAAGGCAGAATGCTTTGGAAAGGCTTGTTTTCAAAGTTGAATAAAAGCTATTCTAAAAATTAGCAACTGTGCAAGATCTGTCAAACTTCTGCTGTAGGTATGAGAGAGATCTAATTGTTAAACTATTGTTGATGATACTTGGAAGCCCAAAGAAAAAAAGGGGATCCATTTTGCTGCGCAATCTAGGAGGTCTTGGTACAAAAGACTTAGAGCTTAAACAAGGTAATGGGCTGTGGTAAAAAGATATTACATGAAGAAATCTTAATTTGTTTCTTGCAGAACGGCTCAGATCAGATGATGGTCAGCCAATGGTACTAAAGTTAAAGGATTGGCCTCCAGGGGAGGACTTTAGAGATATGATGCCTACAAGGTAAGTGAACCTGAGTATCAAAGTCTACAGGACTGCTGTAGGCACTACAGGAGGAAAACATGCCTTTGTTCTCTTTTTGCTCTCTAGGTTTGAGGACTTGATGGAAAATCTTCCTCTTCCTGAATATACCAAGAGGGATGGCAGACTGAATTTGGCTTCTAGGCTGCCAAGTTACTTTGTCCGTCCTGACTTGGGTCCCAAAATGTACAATGCCTATGGTATGTGAGAATAGTTCTGCAGGTGTTGATTTTTGTCAGTCTTTGTTATACTTTGGGCCTATGCAAGGCTGTGGCATTAATCAAAACTCAATGCTTATCCTAACTGGTCCCTTGATCTTTTCCTGTGCTAGTCCTCTCTCTGTCAGATGTGCCCTTTTTTGCCTTGTGGTTTCCAAGAGATGTACATATCTTTGTTTTGCAAACAATTATTATTTAAGAAATATAATAAGCATAATACCAATACAGGGTTCAAGGAGAAGTTAATATCTTTTTGAGACCAATTGATAAAATTGAGAGGAAAATTAAGCCAGCTTCTGGGCACTTTGATCTGTGTGTTCCTGTTTCTGACCAGTGTTGTAGTTTTCTTCATCCATGTCTAACAACACAGACCACAGACAACATGCAAGACAAAACTGTGACCATGTTCAGCTACCTAAATTGGATAGTTTTGTCCTCTTAAGACTGTAATTATATAGTAGGTAAATAGCATACAAATGGAGGAAACCTTTGAACACATACCCTGCATGGGACTGTGAAGCATTAAATTTTCAAATGATTGTCAATATAGCAGAATGTGGAGGATATGTGAACGCTTCATGCATGTCATACCAACTTGCGCATTATTTCAGTTCCTGAGTGTACTGACTTTGAGGTCATGGCCAAAAGCAGATTTTGGAGACTTTTAATTTAAAACAAATGATTTTTAAAAGTTCCAGGATACTTTTAAGTAACCAACTGATTTGGAAGTACGTGCTTTTGCAACTTTAGAGTAAGATAAAGTAATTGCTCTTTGCATGTACTGAAAAATGTGAAGTGATACTGATAAAGAAAAAGTTGCAGCCATCTTGCAAAGCAAGTATGTGGAACCAAACTTAACCTAATGTAACTTCTGTAGTTCTCTCTGAAAATTTATGAGGCAAGGGTGCAGGTTTTTTTAAGGTTTTGCATTCCAATTATTGATATACCTGCAGTAAACAGCTCACCTGAGAATATAAAAGATTTTTTCATTGTTTCATCTTTTTAAAAAAATGTTTTAGCTCAGAAACCAAATGTGCATTAGACTTAAGCTGTAAGCCACCATATTGCAGTTCTGAGAAGGTGTTTGTGGGGTTATTTTGTCATGGTTGGGGTTTTTTTTAGCACTATGACATCACAAATATGATTTAAAAAAATAGGCATTTGTGAACTTGGGCAAATTGAGCTTACTCAGTATTTAATGGTGTTCGGTGTTTTGGTTTATGCATTACTTGACATGTAAGTTGAGTGAAGAAGGCTGTACACTGAAGAGCTTACAATGTAATCAAGCACATATATATATGTAAGAGTGCAGCAAGAAGCAAGGTAATCAGTGATGGCCAACTTGTCTTTGTGTATTGCTAGTTGCTGGCAATGGAAGGAATGGATTAATTTTGTTGAATTTATCTTAAATGTCAAAGTTATCTTCTACTTTGTATCAGTTTGTGGAGGGAGTGTGTACAGTATTTTTTAGCATAAAATATAACCCTTGACTATCTGATCCTTCTTAGATGTATACGTCTTGGTCCAAAGAGAGAAAATATTACGCTTTGTTTACTTTCAAGTTAAAAAGAAAAATTAGCTAGGTCTGTCTACAAAAACAGTTTTGTATCTTTTTGCTCTTAGCTGCTTTACAGACAAATTAAAGGGTGGACCTAGATATAAAAACAGTAATTCCGTCTGGTGAATAAGAGCAACTTTTCTAGTGTATTAAGTATATTTTGGTTTTAAGTATATGGCTTTGTTTTCTGAGTACGTGGTGAAAAAAAATTCTCATTAGTGAGGTAAAGTCTTACATGTGCATAGCATTTTAAAACATTAAGATAGAAAAATTGTGACTAAATCTTGGTTCTTAAAGCAATACTCAGTTACCTAAATAAACGGACTGTTTACAGACGTTAACTGTGAAGAAATCTTATTGCATGGATTTTACAGCCAAGTATGAGAAAATAATGAGCTGCTGGACGCTTATACTTATACAGTCCAGTGACTTGCTGCACAAAGTATGATGCTAATGGCACTTACAGCAGTCGGTGTTTCTCTTGTACCTCCAAGCAAAGGAAAACAGTGCCACAGGATGCCTACTAACTTTGTATTGTGAAAGCTAAGTTCCCTACTACAGACCGTATAAATGCCCCTCAGAGAGAAAACGTTGTGAAGTACAAGTACCACACCTAACATGAAAATAACTACTTTGGCTGTCCTTTGACATTGGTTTCTGTTCTCATTGTTGTGAAAAGTTAGCATTCTAGAAAGATCTTTCATGCAGGTTATTTCTATAAAATAAAATTCTATTTAAGCTCTTATTCTACATTCTATTATAGGCTTAATTACTGCAGAAGACAGACGAGTTGGTACCACAAACCTGCACTTGGATGTATCTGATGCTGTTAATGTCATGGTGTATGTTGGGATTCCCATTGGGGAAGGGACCCATGATGATGGTAATGTTTGAGGAAAGCTGTTTTCTGTCCATTAAAAATGAATTATGTGTGTGAAAAAGAAGACTGTACCTTTTATTGTTTAAGCTTGTCATGTTTATGAGATATAACCCAAATATACAAGGCAGTTTGCTATGTCTGCAGCACATACTTAGAAGTGCAGTAATGTTTCATTGGTTTCCAACTGTGAAAGCAGCAGAGTTTTTCTAGAAACTAGTATCTCCCTGAAGAAAGCAGGAGAAAGGGTGATAAGTTACTCTTTCTTCTCCTTGTATTTAAATAATTGTGTTTAGTTCAGGTTGAATTCATGACTGAGCTTTGTGATTAGCTGTCAATTGACACATTTCCTGAATTTTGCTAAGATGAAGCTTGTTGTGCTTAGAAAGTGCACTGTATGATGCAGCAGTTGCAGTAGCAGTGGGACTGGATTTAGTGGCTCAAAATGCTCCTTCCTCTTCTGTATATAAAAGTCGGAAGCTTTGTAATCGTATCACTTTCAGAGGTTCTGAAAACAATTGATGAGGGAGATGCTGATGATGTAACAAAGCAGCGAATCCATGAAGGAAGAGAGAAACCTGGAGCATTGTGGCACATCTATGCTGCCAAGGATGCTGAAAAGATACGGGAACTTCTCCGGAAGGTATGTTGGTTACAAAGGAGGCTTGAACCTACAGGATTCCTTGTCTACCTTGCTTACAGCAGCTGAATGATACCAATTGCTATCAAATCAAGTGCATAGGTATTCTAATGCTGTCTTTGGGGACATTAATAGTTACTATGTTCCCAGGTTTTCAGCCTGGTCTAGAATTTTCATACTAATGCACGTCACTAGTTAAGACGTAAATGAGCTTAATGGAAGTAATGTCCTACCTTGAAATAGTTTGTTATGATTTTTGGTACAGAGCTTTTTGTGAGCCAGCAATATCAAGGTGCTGTGTCATGGTTTCCCCTCCACCCCATATCTTCACCCTAGGTTGGAGAAGAACAAGGCCAAGAAAATCCCCCAGATCATGACCCCATTCATGACCAAAGTTGGTACTTGGACCAGACTTTACGTAAGCGACTCTATGATGAGTATGGTGTACAAGGCTGGGCAATAGTGCAGTTCCTTGGAGATGCTGTGTTCATTCCCGCAGGTGCTCCCCATCAGGTAAGTATGCCAACTCTAGGCCTTATAGACAAATAGAATTGAATTTGAGACACAACAGAACTATGACTTCAAAATAACTGTTAGTTAATATTTCCGACTTAGGTTCCTTTTTAAACATACGCAGTTCTTAGAGGAGCTATTTGAATTGCATCTTAGTCATTATATTAGTAAAAATTATATAAATACCTGAATGATGTGTACAGTACTGTGATGGAATTAAGAAAAAAAAATTTGGGGTGGCTGGTGCGAAAACATTTCTGTGTAGTGAAACTTCAGCCAAGGGAACAGAATTCCAAAATAGTGTGGAGAACAGTAGAGAACTTGCTTTAGAGAACACTAGTGTATGTGGGAGAATAGGGAACAAGTGAGATGTCACGTATTTTGTTCCGGTTTTACCATCAGACACAATTCTGTGTGAGATCAAATAGGCTTCAGTTCCTGTTTCTGATTAAGTAAATGTGGAAGAACCTAACATACATGATGGTGGTGTTTTTGGGGGTTTTGTATGGGTCACTTAATCTTGCTGTATCTATCACTTGATATGGGGTTTTTTTTAGGTCCATAATTTGTACAGCTGCATTAAAGTGGCAGAAGATTTTGTATCTCCAGAACATGTGAAGCACTGCTTCCGTCTGACCCAGGAGTTCAGGCACCTGTCTAATACTCACACAAACCATGAGGATAAACTGCAGGTAACCATTTTATGACAGCAGTCACTAAATATATCCTGTGTTTTGCCAGCTTTGTTCAGTACTAGAAACATACGGCTAATGAAACAACCTTCCACAGCTTTGGAGGCTCTCATTCGATAAGTATTAAAAAAATAATTAATGCACCTATGTCTACAGTATTAGGTAAACAAAAATTAGTAGTAAACTTTTGGATTTCCAGAGAACTTTCACACTCTTGGACTAAGGCATGTGTCGGTATTAGTAAGTTTTTAAATGGCTGAATCCTGAATGACAGTGAAGTGTAGCAGAAAAAAAACCTACTAAAATGGAAAAAGCAGTGCTGTGTTTTGAAGAGAGATGTTTATTTGACCAAGAACACTTGTATTTATTTCTTTATTGCCTAAAGGAAAATTGCTCTGAAACTGAAGGCTTTGCTTATTTAAGTCAGGGATATAGTTTAGTGGTGAACTTGGCAGTGATAGGTTTACAGTTGGACTCAATGGTCTTAAAAGTCTTTAGCAACCTCAGTGATTCTATGATTCTAAATTAGTCCCAAACAGGAAAATTAAATGTGTTTTGCTTTGAAGAAATGTGACTGCTTAAACTAGTAATTGTGCACAGAACGTATTATGCACTGAAGTAGTACATTGTGTATGAGACAGTAAGCTCTACAGAGAGAAGGCTGCTCCTAGAAAACTGTGCTAAGTTTTGAGCCCCTCACTACAAGAAGGATATTGAGTTGCTGCAGCGTGCCCAGACAAGGGCAATGAAGCTGGTGAGGGGTCTGGAAAACAAGTCTTATGAGGAGCGGCTGAGGGAACTGGGGTTGTTTAGCCTGGAGAAGAGGAGGCTGAGGGGAGACCTTCTTGCTCTCTACAATTAGCTGAAAGGAGGTTGTAGTGAGGAGGGTGTTGGTCTCTTTTCCCAAGTAACTAGCGACAGAAGGAGATGAAATGGCCTCAAGTTGTGCCAGGGGAGGTTTAGACTAGATATTAGGAAAAATTTCTTTACTGAGAGAGCGGTCAAGCATTGGCACAGGCTGCCCAGGGAGGTGGTGGAGTCACCATCACTGGAAGTGTTCAAAAATAGTGTAGACGTGGCACTTCAGGACATGGTTTAGTGGGCATGATGGTGTTGGGTTGATAGTTGGACTTGATGATCTTAAAGGTCTTTTCCAACCTTAATGATTCTATGATTCTAAGACTGTAGGTGACCTTTTTTGATTTCACTTATGTGCGCTTCTGAAGAGTTAGTATCTGTTTAGTTTGCAAATGTTGTTGTCAGCATTTTTTGTGTATTAGTAATCTCATGCATGTAAAATGAAGGAGGGTAGAGATCTGAAGAATGGCTGTTCTTGCAAAAGTGAGTACTCAATATATAGCTTTTCTCCAGTATGTCACCCAAGAATGTCAGAATTTACCAAGTTAAGTCTCCAAACAATTCAGTGAAAAATGGCTATAAATTTCTATATGGATTTGCACAGGATTTTAAAGGAAAGCAGAAGTAGGATCAACTCTCATTGTGGAGATCCAGGTTCAAACACTGTACCTCCTCAGATGCAGTGATGCAGATGTGAAAGTGTTTCTGTAAATAAATAGATTGCAAATGAATAATGCTTATTATTTTAAAAAAAAGGTAACTGCTGGCAAAGTGGAACTCAGTACTCTTGTGGAAAGTAATACTGGTTGTATTGGTGCCTCACAGCCAAACTTTACTTTTTCTCTTTGTAATTTTTCATGCATATTTTTATATAAACATCTGTTCCTGTTTTTTATATATATTTAAAAAATACACAGAGACAAGAGCTGTCACATAAATGATACAAAACACTGAGATCATATGGACATATGATGCATAAGTTGCGCCAGGGGAGGTTTAGACTGGATATTCGGAAAAATTTCTTTACTGAGAGAGTGGTCAAGCATTGGAACAGGCTGCCCAGAGAGGTGGTGGGGTCACCATCACTGGAAGTGTTCAAAAATCGTGTAGACATGGCACTTCAGGTTATGGTTTAGTGGGCATGGTGGTGTTGGGTTGATGGTTGGACTTCATGATCTTAAAGGTCTTTTCTGACCTTAATGATTCTGTGATTCTATGACATCAGGAAGAGATTATGGTGCCTGGCAGTTAGTAGTTTAATTACACTTGCTCAACTTAGAGGTGAAATTGTTCCATTCAGTACCTAGAAACTGAATTCAAATAAAGTTCGATCAGAAAAATCAGAAACAAGATGGAGTTTTGATTATTAAATAGCCAAGCATGGAACAGATTGCTGTGAGTACGAGTGGATTTTTCACCTCTGATCTTGCTTGCCTTTCTGGAAGATGCACAAATTAGAATTTCTAGCCTCCATACAAAGACAACAGGATGATTTGTTGCATTGTCTTAATTTGCATAGGGTTAAACCATATGATTTTCTTGCTCCTTTTGGGTTTGACTCATGTGAATCTCTAAGTGACTCTGAGGACAAGGACTTTTTCCAAATCAACTCATATCTGTGACTTCATAGTGTACTTCCTCCTAGCTCTCATGAGAGAGATACTTACCTTAAAATAACATAAGTAAATATATGTTGCTTGGTGACCAGAAAATGAGTGAATAATTCAGTGCGGGTGTCTAAAATATTTGTTGTCTAACCATGACAGTTTAAAGCTGGTGCTGTTGATATTCTGAAGCAGTGACAGTATATACTTCGTGTATACATGCCAACTACTGTGAATTCAGAGGTCAAAGTTGATTGCATAGGTATGTAAGACTCCTTGTTAGTCTGTGGAAGTTAATTTTTTTTTTTCTTTTACAGGTGAAGAACATTATCTACCATGCAGTGAAAGATGCTGTTGGCACACTGAAAGCTCATGAATCCAAACTAGCTAGATCGTAGGAATTGCTAATTCCAAATGCCCTGTGAAGTAAGACTTTTGCTCACAGTATATACAGGGACTGCACATGACTGCCTCTGCAGGAGCAGAGGCTTCTCACTAAGAGCTGGTGTGGTCAGTATTACACACACTCTTCAGCCACTGTTTTCTGCTCTGCCTCAACACTGAAGGTCTAATGGAAGGTCGCACTGTTACATGCAGAATTCCAGATTCTAACAAGAGGTGCCATGTCCCTTTCCTGTGGCCTTTTGCAATTGGAAGAACATGGAAACCACTTGGTGTTCCTGCATATTATGATTAGAAATGGTATAAAGAGTGTGGATGGTTTTTTTTTTTTCCTCATGCCTAGTTAGTCTCCACAAAGTTAGAAGGAATGTGCTGGAGGTGGGTTGTCCTACTGCAGACTTAGTTGATAGCTGCTGAAGGAGTGTGACCAACGGTAGCCCAACTGCAGAAATTTAAGCAAACTTCCCATGTGAGATACAGGCCAAGGAAAAGAATAAAGCTATTCTCTGCACTCCCCTTCTTGTAGCCGTTTCTCTATACACTGTAGAGTTGCAGAAATAAAGGGAGAACCCACTTTTTTTTCCCCAGGAGACTCCAGAAATAGGAGAATTGTGTATTTAGTGAAAAACTAGGTTTGTAGTGAAACAGTTAATATTTCATGAAAGTAGATATTTTTAGTATTTTTGAAGTACCACAACTGTTCCTGGATTTTCAAGGAAAGGCGCATTACATTTAGTCTTCCTTTCAATAAAATCAAGAAGTGATTTTTAGAAAGCAGTCCAAAATAGCACAAAAACAGCCAAAGGAGAGTGAATAGAAATTGACACCCCACTTCCCTTCCCCATTTTCCTCACCCATCTTCCCCCCCTCTCCCTACACCACCCTGCTTCCTCAGAATGAAAAGTAAAAAGGAGTATAAACTCTGTTCTCATGTGGAGATGTTGTACATCTCTCCCTGCACTGGTGACTGCAGGCAATAGTTCACCCGATACCAGTGCTAGCTGAAAACATCTGTCCTTTCCAAAGTGAAGGAAAAGTTAACTTTCAGTGTCAACTTTGTCCAGAACTATTTTCAGTAAAATGTTCCTGCTTGATAGAACTGTATTCAGAATTTACTAATGTCAGCATTGATGCAATGGATTTCATTGTCCGGGTACATGGGGAAATGTATCTACCTTATATCCAGCTGTACTGTAGTGCCACCTGCAGGCCTGTTAATATGTTCACGGTTATTTCATTTTTTAAAAAATAAAAGTCATTTACTGTAACTGCCTGGGCAGTTTTGTCAGACTTATACACCGATCTTCCTGCTTTGATTTTGTCTCAGCTTTTGCCTCTGGTACTGTAGGGTACCTGTTAAATTCTTGCTCTGTGTCTGACTAGAAGGCTTGGGTGTTTTACGCCTGGCATCCCAAGTACATGCTGGGAACATGCCAAGCTACCTGCAGGTTATTGATTCTCAGAGTTTGGGTAGAGGATCTATCTTGGCATAAACAGCATCTCTTGTGCTGTGCTTCCCACCTCTCACTATCTTCCTAACAGGTTGGGGTTCAGAGCTGTCCTCTCTACTGAAGATATGGATGGGGTGGTAAAGGTTCCCTGGTTTCTGACCTTGAAAGTTGTGATGACAGCAGCAGTTCAGTTCACTGGCATGTGGCATGCTGGCAGCTTCTTATGGTGGTTACAGGGTACAAGTAGTTCACTCCTGGGCGTTCGCTGCCTTCATATCCTTGCAGCTATCCTGTGAATATGGGCTAATTTAGTCCACTACAGATGAAAAGGATTATCCCAGACCCATGAACCATTCAACTTCACCATATTCCTATTGTGCAGAATTTTGTGTGCGCTTCTGTTGTACTCTGTGCATACAACCAATTCTGAATGATTAATTATAGCTGAGATGTTTCCCTCGTGTGTGTGCGTGTGTGTGTGTGTACTAGAATTAGAAAAAGAATAAAAAGACAAAAAGCTTGGCTATGTGTAATGCGATGGCTTCGGTCATTGTCAATGCAGTGATCTACACTAAAAGTTCTTCTCGTGCTGAACCTTTATTTGGTTTGAGTCTATCAAACATTGTTTCTGTCTCTTGAATTTCCTCTTTTATTAATCACAGACTACAGTCAACCTAAAGCAATATTTAGCCACAATCAGAGGAATGATTTGCACAAAAATTACAGATTAAAATTAAGAAATACGTAGCAATCCAGATTTTAGCCCAGATGAGGATGGGAAGAATTTGTAAACTGATCTGGCAAATCAGTTCCAGTAACTTCATTTGGAAATGTTTATCCTTTATCTGGATTGTATGTATCAGGAGATGGAGACTATCGCGTCTTTTGGCAAATTTTTCCAGGTAGGTAATTTTTTTATATGGGGCACAAATTTGCATTTACATAGATTCAGAAATCACTTATCAATTCTTGCTTGTTTTCCATCAACAGAAGGTCTTCAGTTGATTAAAAGCCATAATTGTCAGCTCTTAGAATTCTGTTCAACTAATTAAATTTAGCTGTTACTGTATAGCAATTTCAGAATTTCTAAAATAGAATATTCATGTATTGTCTATCTGCAAACATGTAGGTTTTTATTAATACAAATATTAGTTTTAGTCTATATTAATCAGATATATAATGTGCATAGATAATATGACATACATATATTTATGGATGTATCTATTATCCATTACATATATTACATTTTAGATATGTGTATATATAAAACTCAGGCAACTGCAGGTGTTTGCTTTGGGGTTTTTTTTCTTTCAAACATGCTTAGCTGCTTCTCTTTGCTGTAGCCTTACATGGTGAGGGATATATTATGGTACTTGTAATTAGACTGTGAAGCTCACTGCTATCATGTTGATGATGGAAGTAATTGTGTTTAGAGCTTCTACTACATCCTTTGACAGAGTTGCAAGATTTAATTATGCTTTGTTTGAAAGTATCTACTTTTGTTAGCTTAGTAATTTAACTGGGCTCCAGAGCCTTTTTTCCCCAAGTTTGTCCTCTGTTTACCCTTTTTTCATAGCTTCATAGTCCTTTTATGTGCCATTTCACTCACCCGATGCATCTGTCTTCCAAGGTGAACAGTTTTGGAATGTAGAAGCTTTGCATAGAACCAGCTCTGTGACTCTGACTGTTCTTGTTGACTGGTGCCTCCTCTTTGTTCAGCTATCCCACTTTTGAGGGAAGATGATTCAAGCTGCCTGCACAGTTTTAAAGTTTATTCACCATGCATTTCTGTGGTGAGATAATGGTGTTCATTACTCCTTTCTAAAACATTCCTGTTGCTGCATTTCTTACTAAAACTAAGAACTGAGATTTCCAGTAGTGATGACTGTACTATCTTTCCTGAGTAGCGACAGCTGGGGCCTGTCACATAAGCATTTATACTTGTATGGTTAGGGTGCTTTCAAGGGCAATGTGTTGGCATTCTCTCTTAACAGGGTTTGTCTGAAGGGTCAATATAAGCACTCACCCTCCAGTACCCACCACTAGTTCTGTCATACTTCATATAGAGCTTATAGCAAAAGTAGCCAGCTGAAGTGATTTAAAATTGTTTAGGATGTACAATCAGTTTTTATCACCGTATTTTCTGGTTACGAATTTTAATGGGCAGCTGATATGTTACCTGCAATGTAAGCAGATTAAAGGAGACATTATAAATCAGAAATTTTTGAGCAGAGGGGAAATTAAAATTTCAGTTGCATGTCTTAAAATTCAGTTCACTGCAGTCATGACATTTGTTCTACTGTCTTGGCATTCCTAAATGGAGCTGCACAAGATCGTGGGCAGGCACCATTTTTGAATATTGGCTTTAAGCTCTGGCTGTCTTTTAGCCAGTGTCCTGTGGAACGATGGACAAGTGGAAGCAGGAATTCAGGATTATATGGCTGTTGGCCTGCCCAAGTGAATTTGGATTGCATTCACAATACTGAAGATTGGTGTGTGCTTAACCACGCAAGGGCGTACTTGGCACTGTCATTCAGCAGTTTCACAGAGCCTTCAAAATGTTATGCAGGACACATTCATCTTTTTCTCTCAGGTGAAGAGGAATAAATAATGTCCCTGGTCTGAAGATTTCACTTCTTTTCAACCCAAGAACTCCTTCCTTTTCTTGATATTGCTTAAAAATGTAGCAGTCTCCAAGGGTTAATTTTACAACACTTAATCTTTTTTCTCTGTTTATATGCACACTGAGGCGACTGAACCAAGCAACATAAATATGGGAAAAATTAAGTACTTAATACATCAAAGGTTGTGATCCATTCATTGTTCCTCTGAAAGATTCTGAGACTGCTTCTTGTAGAACCTGAGGATGTGGAATGAGAATTGGAGCAGAGGCGTTAGATGTCAAGCAGTAACTTGAATTTAGGTGCAATACAAATAAAATGAAAGAAATTACAGGCACAGGTATTCTTTTAAATTATTGCTTCTGTGTACATGTGACTTCCCTCCCCTTCCTCACTTCTGATGGCCCTTTGATAGCTCTCTGAGCTTCTACAGTTAAGAGGTATTAGTTGCAGTGTGTGACATGTACGTGCTAGTGACTTATGCATGAAGCTACTGCTTTGGTGTGTGAAAGGAGTGTGAAACTACACAGCATGTGAGTGAAGCATAGCATGGAAGCACTTGTGGACAATGCATCGTACAGGGTCTGGTCACTGATCTTATCCTCCGATTGTCAACTTCAGTGTTTTCACAAACCTATCCCCTGTCTATCCAGGATGCATAATGACCATCCAGTGACCTGCTTGTGGTCACTCTCTCCCAATGCATCTCAGAATCTGAAATCACAGCCTCCTTCTTAACTGACAGTGTTTTTAAGATCCCTATTCTCAACCTTTGAAAAAGAGCTGCACACTCCCACCAGACATTTGAAAAATAACTAGGCAGAACTCATCTTTCTTTTCTCTCATCTCCTTCATCCCCCTGCCTTACAACAGCTTTTTTTTTCTCTGTCTGCCTTTATATAAGCTAATATGAAAATGGTAAAGTGAGTTTCAAGAGCTAGATATAAAAAAATACATCTGCTTCCCCTAGGAAAGTCTCTTAAAACTAAACAGATTTCAATCACAGAGCAAAACAGGTAAAGAAGGGAAATGTTCTCAGAATAATTTCCCAATTCTAGGGCCTTACCTTCCACAACGTCAGTTTATACTGTTGGCTCACAGTTTTTCTGTTTTCCTTATCCTTTTCAGTGTTTGATGCTCTTCCATTACAATGTGCACCTTTAAGCTTTAGAAAGTGGGTTCCCATTGTGTTCTTCCACTTCACCTTTCTTCCTAAGACCCTTATTTATTCTGCTAAACTGTTTCCAGAGGCACTCTTGTGTTCCTGAGCTCCGGCTAATTGCAGTTCCTCTTCATTACAGCAGCTTCTGCCTGAACCTCAGCTTCAGCAAGATCTCTGGATCTGACCTGGCATTGTTCTAAATGTATCTTTGCTTAAGCTGGTGTACTCAGGGTGCAGTTAGTTTGATTCCCATGCCTTATTATTTAGACCCTAATAGATTGATAGGTATTTGGTCACCTATTTTAACCATTTGTAGGACACAAATTTGTCATGAGTTACTTCGGCAGTAGCATATCTACTAGAAAATATAAAGCCTTAATTTGAAAACAATCAACAAATTGCTTTCCTGGGTAGGTCTTAAGATCTTAATTATACAGCACTATACAGTATTACTAATAACTTAATAAAAATACTACTAATAAATCATTCTATTTTAATTTGACCTGCAGATGGCTTTTGTTCCAAAAATAGCCCTTCAGTACCAGTAGTTTCTCCTAGTGGGAAGGTACGTTAATGAATTAATTTCTCATTCTTCTTTATGATAGGGAAAGCAATTTGAGCTACTTATTGCTAACTGTAAATTCCTAGCTTAAAGTACCTTTCCTGAAGTTGCTTTAAAGCTCAATGTGCTGTTTAACGATGAGCTGCCCCTTAAGACATTCACAAGGCTGCCTGCTCTACTAATGTTGATGTTCATATTCTGTTGTTCTTATCACCATTTATTTCTAACACACTGTAAATCTTCATACTGCTCCTTGGCACATTAAACAGTTTAAAACACTAAGGCACATCTTATGTAGATGCCACTTACCCATCCTGCAGTTATTTAGCACTCCCATGTTCTTCATACGATGTACTTGCCAGGTCTCTGAATTTTCTGTCTTCTATTTGCATTTTCCACTCATCTGGGTACGAACACGTTATTCAAGTACCAGAGCTGTTGCCATGCTGGTCCCCGATACGAAACTGTGATT